TGTGTGTGTGTGTGTGTGTGTGTGTGAAAGAAACAATAAAAAGCAAAACAAATGTGTAAATGCTAAGTCAGCATTCACACAGGAAGTGTCTGTGTAATACTGGTGCAGATTCTTAGTTATACAGGACATGGTCAAACAAGCTAAATAAATAAACATAAACAMCTGGACTTATATTTTTTTGTTAAAGATGTTTTGCTTCYCATCCAGTTTGCTTTCTCAGTTCTTGAGAACAGTGTATTCAACTACACAAGTCCAGTTTTTCTGTCTTATACTTTTTTTTTCTTACATTTTTTCTCTTTGTGTAATATTTGAACTTTACAGACGAGATAATGTATACCTGGCAGGGAGGCTGCTGGAGGAGCCATAGTTGACCTGGAGRAGGGGCTTCTGAAAGGAGGGAGTCGAGAGAAGAGACCACCGATCTTTGGCTTTAAAGCTCTTGAAGCCTGCAGACGCACACTAACAAGTTACAGTCATGTAGAAATGAACAGTTTTGCTTTCTGATTTTAGATGAAAATGTCWAATTTTAGAAGATTTTGTATCAAGTTTTCCTAAATGAGGTTGATAAAATGATTATTTCTATACTGCTAATGACATTAGAATGTAACCAGTCTCAGCCTCCAATGAGACAACTACTCACCTTGTGCTTTTTGGTTGACAAAACTTTCACAGATCCAGTCTTTCTCTTCTTTTAAAGTGGAGTTTCTGACTGAACAGACATGAGGACCAACATATGAAGTTTAACTAAAAACTTTCATCAAACGCTTTACAGCTCTGACCTGTGTTGGGTGTGGAAATTTACCTTCAAAGTCAGGCAGAGAACSAAGATTTCCACCATGTTTTCTGCTTCCTGCAGTCGAAACTCGTTCTTCCAACATGATCTCTGAGCAGCTTCCATCTGCACTGTCTGTACCTGCAAACACCAAATCAAATGAACAGGAGGAAAACTAACATCTGTTACAGAAAAGATAGTCTGTAACATTTAAATATMTAACAGAGGTGGTGGAGCACCTTTGCTCCTGCTGGCGTCCATGTCTGAAGAAATCCAGTCCTCTATTTTCATCTGACTGGAAATGTGATTATTCACTCCTCTGCTGYTTGACTTCCACTCACTGCAGGTTAGAACAAAGACACAAATGTTGGGAACATACAACATGTTTTAATTTCTTTGAAATGATCTCTACCTGCTGGAAGTTAGTGTTCGGTGTGCTCTGGTCTTGGACCTGCGTTCCTGACGTTCCTCTCTGTATTTGGAGGTGAGGTAGTCCATCCTCTGTGCTAAGTGAGGCAGCTGGACCAGGCCCTCCTCCAGGTCCTGCTTCAGCCTGGACACCTCAGTCTGCAAGGCCAGGAAGGCCTCACTGGATGCACACAGAAACAACACATCTGTGTCTGATATTCGTTAGCCTCACATCTCTCTGTCTTCTTCTCCAGCGCTGGTTGTTCTGCACACTGACCTGTTGCAGGAGCAGGAGGTCAGAGGGCCGTGCCGGTCCACAGATCCCATGCCGGTGCTGAGGACAGGCTCAGAAAGGTGGTGTTGGAGCCGCGCTGGTRGCTTCTGCACAGCTCCTGATTGGTCATTAAAGAAGGGTTCTTCATTACAGAGTTAAGATTCATTTTTAATTTTTTTTATTTGAAAAGTTTATTTATTTAAAACAAAACAACATAAATTCAATATACAATAGAAATATTCTATTTCTCAATTTTTTTCTCAAATAAATCAATTCAATCAAAAATTATCTTCAATTTACAAAAACAAAAATGTACAAAAAAGAAAAAAGAAAAGAAAAACAACACACTGCAAAAACTGTCCACCTAACCAAGTTTAAAAACCTTATATCCAGCCAAAATGTCTTTTTAGTCTTGTTTTGAGACTGATTTACCAAACAAGAACTGATTGTGTAAGAATAATCATCTTGTTTTCAGAATGTGTAAGATTATTTGTCTTGTTAGCCTGAAGATTTGACTCAAATTAAGTCAAAACTTTCTGCCAATTGAGTAAGAAAATTTTACTTGGTAAGATTCTTGAAATAAGAAAAAAATTGAGTCAAATCAAGTATTTTAAGAATCTTACCAAGTAAAATTTTCTTACTCCATTGGCAGAAAGTTTTGACTTAATTTGAGTCAAATTTTCAGACTAAGACAAATAATCTTACACATTCTGAAAACAAGRTTATTATTCTTACACAATCAGTTCTTGTTTAGTAAATCAGTCTCAAAACAAGATCAAAAGGACATTTTGGCTGGATATAAGATTTTAAAACTTGGTTAGGTGGACAGTTTTTGCAGTGTACCCATACATATTTCTCCAACAAATTAACCTTTATCATTCTCTTAAATATACACACTGATCTGGCAAAAAAAAAATCATAAAATCAGTTTTAAAAAAGGAAAGGAGGGGGTTCGCTCACCTCTAGGCCTGACCGATGGCTCCTTAGTTGTGCTCTCCACCCACAGCTCCACCGCTRCTCCACAGAGCTGCGTCTGAACAGATGGGAGGGCTGAATGGATCGCTGTGTTCAGGTTGGAGCARGAAGCTTCGCTGTCAGATCCACTTAACCCATCAGATGGAACACTGCAGAACAAAAGTTCAGACTTGAATTTACCTCATCTTAGAKCCGTGTGTTTTATTTCCCTTCCTTTTTTACCTTCCTGTTAGTAGGAAAGACTGAAACGCTCCAGAGGCTGAYTGGTTCAAATAGGAGCTTCCAAATCCGCTGTCTGTCTCTGGACTCACAATCCTCTGCACCTCAGAGAACACAGCTTCAGATTATAAAACAACAGTTTCTGCTTCGCGTCTTTAAAATCTGATTATCAGGAGGGACACGGACCTGTAAAACAGAAGAGGTGCTGACGGGAGGCTCTGAGCTGCTGTGGATGTCGGAGCCTCTCAGAAGATGAGAAGAACAGGAGACCTCCACCGCCAGGCTCATRGAATCGCCCAGATCACAATCATGGGTTGAATTCAGGGAACTACAGCATCAACAAAAACAATGAATAAAATATTTAAATATGAGTAGCATGTGAAGAGATGATGAAGTTACAGCATTATCTGGATTAAAGCAGATTAGAATAAGAAAAACTCACTTCAGCCRTGGTCAGCTGTTTATTTATCACACCTACCTGTTAGTGACCTGGTGCCTCTGCTCTGATGCCGACCTGGTTTCTGTCAGGTGTGCTGCTAAGACGTCTCTCCCCTCTGACAGAACTGAGCTCCCCTCCTCTTCCGGGCCTTCCTCGTCCCCTGCTGTTCTCCAGCGCTGTCCCTCCAAAGAGCCCAGCGAGTCCCTGAAACAGGACAGAGAGGACAGCCTGCACACATAGATCCAAACGTGGTGTTCCTTCCACACGGTGAAACTGAACACCGACACTGTGCCTGAAACACTATCTGTCCAAAGGGAGGCCGAGAGCGTGCCTTTTATGTGAGCACAAACATCAACTTAAAACCTGGTGGTTTGATCCAATATGGTTTTTATTTGACTCTGTTTGGACTGATGTGTTCACAAGCAGAGCTCTGTCTGTCTGCTTTTAAAGACGAAAGCAACTGTGAAAAATATGTATATAAATAACAAGTGGTGGGATGTAACTAAGTACAAGTACTTTGTTGCTGTACTTAAGTACATTTTTTCATGTATCTGTACTTTACTCATATAGATTTCATCATGGGTACTTTTGACATTTACTCCACTACATTTTACATCTGTACTTTCTACTCCACGATATTTCTGGAATGTGTTGGATTACAAATTACATTCATGTCATGTCGCATTGCTTTTTTTTTTAGTTTGAAAGTAATCAGTGGCGAGAGGGGAATTTCTGTAATTGGTCCATTGAAGCACTGCAAAGCAGGAAAGTACCATTAGACCCTCCTTCAAAAAGAAAAAAAAAGGCGGAGCAATTCTGCATCACCTGGAGCAGCAGCAGCAGCAGCATGCCCACAATGGATTCCACAACAGAGGAAATGTGCCACTCATGGCCTTATTTATTAAAAACTTTTTCAAGTTAACTGGTTCAAAAAACGACTTGTTGAGTTTTGATAAAGGACGATGGTGGTGAATTTGCAGCTTCTGTAGCTGTTGTCACAATCTGTGATGATGCACAGAATCACACCMAGTGTGAACAGTGTCACAGAGGGTAAACACAAAAACATGCATTACCTGCAGCATTGTTCACTAAAATCACACCATTGATGTATTTAAAATATACACAGGCACACTTCATAATATTGTAGACAATTACGGAATACATTAAGCAAGTACTTTTACTTTTAATACTTTAAGTATTTTTAAAAGCAAGTACTTACTTACTTTTACTCAAGTAAAAATGTTGATGTGATACTTTTAGTTTTACTAGAGTACATTTTTGTCTGTTTACTTGTAATTTTATTTAAGTACAGTGTTTGAGTGCTTTCTCCACCACAATAACAAAATCATTAGTTGGATGTTGGAACATTGTGTAAAATGTAAATAAAACAGAATGAAACTATTTTCAAACCTCATAAACCCATATTTTAATTATTACATTAATCCTTTTTTTTTTTAGTAATTTTGGATTTGATGTCAGCAACACATTAATAAATGGAGATGTGGCCACATTTCCTAACACTGTGAAGTCAAATTTCATAGTTTAAACATTTGACATACATACTATGTTTCATTGTGAGAATGAATATGGGTTTCTGAGATAAGCAAATCATTGCATTTTGATTTTATTTACATTTTAGACACCATCCCAACTTTAACCAAACCGAAGCTGTAAATTAAACTTTAGACAAACAGAAGAAACAAGAAGAAATTACTGATACCGGTAAATATTGATGTGACGTCCAACGTCTGCAGGACCCCTGCTTTGGTTTAATCCATCGTTGCCGGCCTCCACCAGCTCTTCCTCCTCCTGCAGGTTTGTTTCAAAGCCTGCACTTGAACCCTGAAACACAAAACCCTCTCATGTGTTGTTCATCTAATGTAAACATGCGTTACACAGCACATCCTTCATGAAGCTGCTGATAGCTGTTTCTACATTTAACCTAAAGTGAGACGATCCAAAGAGGACACTCCTGGTTCTTGTGCACATTAGAGACTAAAACCTCCACTAAAACTCCCAAGAGTTGAAATAATTAGATAATCAGTATTAATATAAATATGTGGATAAATCATTCAATGTGAATCAAACTGTTGAGACAATCCTCTCACATAAGTTGAGTGGAAAACATCTGTGTGTTTGTTACCTCATGCAGGGAAGGTGGAAGTGAAGGTGAGTCAAAGGGAAGTGGACAGGGCTTTGCATGCAGTGGCGGGGTTGTGAGTGTGGGAGTGGACGAAGAATGAGGGGGAGAAATCTGCTCGAACTTGTTTTTGTCAATCATCTCCTTTATGTCCTCGAGGAGCATTCCTATCCTGAATATGTCTCCCTCTACGAGCCTGCAGACGACACAAACGTGACCCGATGTAGAAACAAGAACCAGATCAGCTAGCTCGGTTTCAAAGGTGGAGGTTCTTAAACCTGTTTGGGTCGAAGGCTCCTGTGTTCCTGGAAAGGCCCATGTAGTTCTGCATCTCCAAGGCTCTGTGCTCCTCCTTCTTACTGATGTATTTCCTCTCCAGCTGGTCCTGAGCCTCCATCATGYTCCTCAACATCTTTCGAAAGGACGTGGTTTGTGTTTATACATAATAATAAAAAACCCAAGAAACCAAGCGTTTCTGCGGATACAAATCCTACCATCTGCTGTTCAGCTGTGCTCGCAGCCATGTCGCTAACAATAACTTTCAAATCCTCAACCTGAAAAACGACAAAATGAACACAAGATTTAACAAATGCATGCRTGATTATATAGATTAGAAAACATGAGAACATTTTCAAACGTGCCGTACCTTCTGCGTGAAGTGACCCACGACGTCTCTCAGCTCAGCAGTCATCTTCTCGCCGTCACTGAGACTCTCTTCGTGTCGGTCTGAGGAAAGCGTGCTCGCCTCTTTGTTGGGTGTGGAGTGAGTCGTTTCTGATTTATTTTAAATTAGGTTTTATGAGAAATGCATGAACAAAAAGTGATGCACACCAAACATTGTCACACGCTCTTCTAGGATAATTAATGTGCACACAGAAAATTTTTATGTTGAGCAGTGTTTTATAAAGTACCTGAAAGTGATACTTGAGTAAAAGTACAAGTATATTAACACAAAAATACTTTGGTAAAAGTTAAAGTCTTCTCTAAAAATAT